TCATAATAATTGACTAGTCGGGGGTTAAAGGTGAAAAGAGTACAGTACAGTAAATAGTATTGTCTGTAGCTCTTCTATTGCTACTGTTTAGTTCATCGGATAAGATACTTATTGCTCCTCAAGTAATAGTGACTTCACATCTATTGTATAATATATATATTAGTTGATACGGAGCCCACAATCTCATAATATCAATGTGGTTGATATGGGCTTTTGTATCTATGTTGTGGCCAGCTATTGATTTTACTTTCCCAATTTTAGTTAATGTTTTCTGGGTTATACAAGCGTTTGCAAGTACTCGATAACGTGGTAAAAGAATTGCATTTTGTTCAAAACCGCATGTTTGTTCTTTTTTAATCTCATAACGTTAAATTAATCGTTACCAGTTTGAATACTCATTGTGTCAAGCATATATTTATATACATTAATGAGCTCTCAATATATAGTGATCTGTCCATCACAGTTTATTATGATTTACATATGTTGTGTTATGTAATTTGATCTGATGTGGTGAGCTGTTATACTATTTTGCTTAATCGACTAGCGAAGGAAATGAGGACGTTCTCTGAAATGTACTCACCTTTCATTAGTATGCACGTACCGTGCTAATTACATTGGTCTTATTGCAATAAATGGCTCTTCACATTGGCAGTTTTAATGCTAATTCCTCTCATGTTATATGATTCACATACCTCTCTCGGCTGTTTTTTGTGCGTTCATATTGAAATTGCACTTCGTGGCCCTTTTCACTCCTACATCTCCGCTGCTAAATGCCTAGAGTTGGTGCCATATGAATGGCAAATTAGATATTTGTCTTAACTAGCAACTGGCCTTATAAAGTGGCCAGTTAATGTATGTATGATAGAATAACTTTCTGTTACCTGTTACTTATATTCAGGTCACAATAAGACTTTGAAAACCAATAGTACGTAACTCAGTTACAGGTGAACCAGTTATATAATACATGTACATTGTTTCATAGTTTGAATAAAGTAGGAATTATCTGTTTGAATCTGGGTGTAGATTTTACCTGACACTTTTTAAGGTACACCTTCTTACTTGGTTGGACCCCCTTATGGCTTGAAAACTGCCTCCAGTCTTCATGGCATAGATTCAACAATAATGTCATACAGTTGCTGCAGACTTGTCAGCTGATGTGAACCTCCTGTTCAACCACATCTCAACGATGTTTTACTGGTGACTTTGGAGGCCAATGCACCTAACATCTGTAAGTGTAGTTTTCTTCTGTAGCTCAGACATTCGACTGAATGAAACCATCCAAAGAAGTGCCTAACTGTCATAAACAACACACCTGAGCTGATCCACCAAAGAGTTGCTATAATGTGCTCTTTGCAACATTTTCTTTTTAATCTGATCAGTGACTGGTCAGTGTTGTACTTTATGATATTTGAACAAGAATCGGCATGACATCAGCCATAGCGGAGCGAATGTGGATTGTTCCACATTTGAAACATCACATGAGATTTCTTGTCGCGGTTTGTAGGACAGAGCATTTCTAACCAATGTCACGGGCCCCCTATCTGATGTGCCAGTGGTCAAATTAACGAATCCAATGCAATTAGTCATTCAATTTACTGTGAGATTCTGTGGCTGCTCTGAGTATGCCCCTCTTTCCCTGTCTCCCTCTCTCGATTTTCTCTAGTTTTCCATTATGGGATTTTCTGTTTATCTGTTGTGGTCTTGACTGTTCATTTCTGCATCCCATGTCTTACTGTGTGTATTTGTGTGTGTGTTTCTTGTCTCAGGGCGAATGTGTGCACACAGAGAGGTAAGTGTTGTCGGTGTGTATACACCAACATCGGTCTGCTTGTGTATGTGTGCGCGGTGACTGTTCATGCCTCACTGTGGGACGCGTTGATTAGCGCTCACTGCGGCTCAGCTCCCAGCTGTCCTTGCGGCTGGTCGCTGATTGAAACCAATCAGGCTTGCGATGGCCCCATCGCAGTGACCCCCAACCCCTCCCACCCCCGGCCTAATCACCTGCTGATTGGCCCACGCAGGGCCCCCTCCCGTTGGCACGAAAGGTTAATTTGACCGGCGGATGAAGGCTCCAGGAGGGAATAGGAACGTGCGCTGGGTGATATTGCATGGATATAGCCCACCTGTCAATCACAGCCACTTAAAGAGGAGCAGCAAGGGAAACACTGACAACTAGGGAGGAAGCAAGAAGCAGAAAGGAAAGGAAAGAAGGAGCGGTGATGTTGGCGTAGAAGAGCACCTAGTGATTAGCAGATGAAGTTGAGACAGAAACAATAAAGAGGAAGACAACAAGATACAGCTGAGTGCTCTGTAACAAACCAGCAATGTGATTCAAACTAGAGTTTTTAGGTGAACTTTCATCTCCACTGCATCTTGTTTACATTCAGCTCTGATATTTCTATATTTCTGTGTTCTTTTTGTGCAAGTGACATAATTAATCACTTACACAAATGGCTCAAATATTATATAGTCTGTGATAAGTATTTTGAAATTGTGCATATAAAATAACTATTTGAGATTAAATAACAATAGTATGTGTGAAAGAGTTGTCACCAAATTACTATAATATTAATCTTCTTTCCTTAAACTCATCAGGGCCAGCTCTGTTCTAGGATGCCCTCTGGACCCAGTGGAGGTGGTGAGTGACAGGAGAATGGTGGCTAAGCTTTCATCCTTGTTGGACAACATCTCCTACCCCATGCAGGAGACTCTGACAACACTGAGCAGCTCCTTCAGTGGCAGGCTGTGGCACCCACGATGTGGGACGGAGAGATTTTGCAGGTCTTTCCTCCCCACTGCTGTCAGACTCCATAACAAAGACTTTTGCAGCTGATCAAACCCACACATGTGCAATAAGACTAAGTGCAATACTCTTTTCTGACAAAGTTGTATTTTTACTCAGTTGTATATAGCATTTGTATTCTATTTTTATCCTATTGTATATTTTATTTTATTCTATTTTATTCTACTGTATATAGTATTTTATTTTATTCCATTCTATTCTGTACAGTTGTGTACAGTATATTATTCTTAATGTATTCTAATTTTTGCCATATAACTTTGCACTGTCCACTTCCTGCTGTGACAAAATAAATTTCCCACGTGTGGGACTAATAAAGGTTATCTTATCTTATCTTATCAGAGTCATTACACCTGAATATTTTGATATTCAGTCAGATTTATTTTATAATTTGACAACCCTATCTTAATACATATACATAAACATACTGAGGCACTCTGACAAAAACAGGTTGGCCTGCCTTCTAAGTTACAGTTATTTATTTATTTATTTTTTTTACAGTCAGTATATTGCATATACTCTTCATTGGAAATATTGTAGTGAATAGGTCTTTCCAGAGGGTGGCGGTGTTGTATTCATTCTGGATACTCGCATCCTGTCTAATAAATAATCTATTAGTGCTTTATGGCCATCTTCTTTATGTTAATGCTTTTAGGTCTGTTTCTCCCTATTACATTACATTTGCATTATGCTCTCTCACATAACTCTCTGTCTGCCTGTATGTGTGTCTATGTAAGTGTGTGTGTGTGTAATTATAAGTTTCTAGCATGATAGTTTATTCTTAACCTTTGCATCTCATCAAAAAGTTAATTCCAAAACTTCCAGCTCCATCTCATGTGCTTTTTTAACAACAGCTTGAGCTTTTGGATTTGTCATCAGGGGTAATTAGAATAAAAGGTCTAAATCAATCACTAATAAGTCAACCGGGAGTTTGAATTTAAATTTTTTTGTCAAAATGCTCGTCGGACTTCTTTTCTGCAGAACACCACAGATTTTCAATTTTAAGTTTATTAAAA